CCCCAAAACCCCAAAACCCCAAAACCCCAAAACCCCAAAACCCCTTTTAACAAAAAGTTATAGAAAGTCTTATAAAAATGAGAATTAAAACAACACTCGTCAGTGTAAGTATTTTCAAGTATGAGGAATATTGCTTTAGTCACCAACCTAGAGATACTTTTCTCCCCTACTTATTGGAAAATACTCCAAGTCCACTGTTTGAGTTATCTTCTCTTAAAAATAAGTAATTTCTGTGGTTTCAGAATTAAAGTTATCTAAAAAATTTGAAAGAATCCTTGATAAAGTCAATGTGAAACTCTGTTTTTTTACTGAAAGATCTTTGAGAAGTGGCTTCATAAAACTTAATAAAAATCTGATGAAAAATACTGTCTTAGAGATCTGCTCACAACGTAATAGGTTATGAAGAGAGAACCTTGAAGAGGCTCTAAAATTGGCGCTCTGATCATTCTATGCATAATGTAACTTCTTCGATATATTTTAGGATTGGATCTGCTTGCTCCCAGCTCTGAACAGCTGGTCAATATGATGATGGATTTGGTGCATGACTTGGATGAACTAGCGGTAAGGATAATCAAACAAAATTTAGGCAACTTCTGACCAGGTGATGACACAATGCAGCCTTGTACTGCTGGTATAATTCTGAGTTATTCTTTAGGGCATGTTAGTTCAGCCAATGCAGTTTCGTGTACCCAATGCACCGGAGGCACACACGCAAATACAGGACAAACTAATTGTGATCCTTGAGCTTCTGGTATAAGAGAGGAATAATTTTTAGGTCATGTTAGTGGAAACGGAGCATCAGCTTGTACTCAATGACTTGCTGGTACCTTTGCTAATGCTTTGAAGACAAATTGAGATGCATGTTCTGCAGGTAATTTTGCTCTTCTTGCTCAGTTTATAACTGCAGATGAACTTTTAATTCTTCTAGATCAGTATTTTAGTTTCGGTTTGTTTTACATCAAGCGTTCTAATTTTTTGCATTAATTCAAACTTTTAGGACACATCAGTAGTGTTGGCCAGGATTCTTGCACTGCATGAGGAAGTGGGACATTTGCTAATACTGCGAAGACAGCATGCACTTCATGCTCATCTGGAGAAGTAAGCGCTGGGAGTGTAGATTCTTGCACTCAATGAACAGCGGGGACATATGCAAATGCTGCCCAAACCTCTTGTGATACTTGAGGCTCAGGTAAATTTTATCATAATTCGCAGGAACTATCAGTGGAAACGGTGCCTCAAGCTGATCAACATGAGCAGCAGGAAGTTATGCAAATGCGGGGAAAACTAGCTGAGTTGCTTGTCCAACAGGTATTTGAGATTCTTATATTTTAGGTGAAGTTAGTGGGTCCGGGCAAGATTCATGAAACGCTTGAACTAGTGGAACTTTCGCTAATGCTCATTTAACTTGAGATACTTGAGCAGCAGGTAATTAGCAGATTTTAGTTATAGGTTCCATAAGCTCAGGAGCAGTCGATTCATGCACAGTTTGTTCAGGAGGCACATTTGAGAATTCCCATTTAACTTGAGACTCCTGACCAGCAGGTAACTTTCCTCAAAATTTTTTAATCAACCAAGTGTCAAATCTTATAATCAACATCTTTATAGGAGAAGTAAGCTCTTCTGGTGCAACCTCATGTACTCAATGACTAGCAGGAACTGCTACAAATGCTGGGCAAACAAGTTGAGATATCTGAGATAATGGAAAATACTCACCATCTAATGGAGCAACTTCTTGCTCAACATGTGCAACAGGTTTTAACAGTCCTTCCTAGTACTGCTTCAGGTGCTACAAGTTGAGACCCAATCTGAGGAGATGGACTGAAAGTTGCAGGAGAAGCTTGAGACGATAATGATACTGACGGCACATCAGGTTGTAACGCAGATTGATCAGCGGAGGTTAGCGGCTGGCACTGCTCTGGAGGATCACCTTCAGCTGCAGATACATGAAACGAGGAATGTAATGATGGGGTCATAACAGTTAGTGAAGAGTGAGAAGATGGAGATTTAGATGACGGAGATGGCTGAGATAGCTCATGACAAGTTGAGACTGGATATAGCTGAGTGCTAACAGGAGGAACTCCACCTTCTAGCTGATCAGAAATATGAGGAGATTCAAAGAAGGTAGGATCAGAGTTCTGAGATGATGGAAATAAAAGTGATGCTGATAAATGAAACAGCTCTTGTACAGGAAATGTCAATGGATGGCACTGTACAGGAGGAGATGTAAACAATCCTTCTACATGAGAAGAGCAATGAAATGATGGCTATATCACAGTCAGTGAGGAATGAGAAGATGGTAATAAAGTCACAGGGGACGGATGCTCAGATACATGATTGATAGAAACAGGTTATGTCTGCTCTCTTACAGGAGGAACTCCTCCTTCAAGCTGATCTGAAGATTGTGGGGATGGTAAAAAGGTAGGAAACGAAGTCTGTGACGACGGTAACCAAAGCGATGCTGATAAATGAAACAGTACCTGTACAGGAAGCATTGTTGGTTGGACATGAACAGGAGGAAGTGTCTCTAGTGCCTCAACCTGAGTCACAACTTGTAATGACGGATATATTGCAGGGGCAGAACAGTGAGAAGATGGCAATACTACACCAAATGATGGATGAGATGCAAACTGTCAAACTGAACACCAATGGGACTGAACTAACAATGTAGCCTTAACCTCTACAACTTGAACTCCGATATGAGGTGATGGATATAGAGTTGGCAGTGAAACTTGTGATGATGGGAACAAAAGCGATGCTGATAAATGAAACAGCACTTGTGATGGATTTGTAGATGGATGGACATGCACAGGCGGAGATGGTTCAAATCCTTCAACTTGTGTTACAACTTGTGATGATGGATTTATTGCAGGCACAGAAACATGTGAAGATGGAAACAAAACTTCAGGAGATGGATGAGATGCCTCATGTATGAGAGAAACTGGTTGGAATTGAGTAGACAATGCTGCTAAAACCTCAACTACATGAACAGCTATTTGAGGAGATGGCTTAAAGATGCCAACAGAAGCATGAGATGACGGAGATAACTCTGGATTGACTAAATGAAAATCAGACTGAACTGGGTTTGTTGATGGATGGTATTGAACAGGAGGGACCCCGACACAAGCAGATACATGAACTACTCAATGCGATGATGGCTATATTGCAGGAACTGAGGAATGAGAAGATGGTAACAAAACTGATTGGGATGGATGTGACAGCACTTGTATGGTAGAAACCGGTTGGAATTGAAACAATAACGTTGCTCTCACCTCATCATCATGAGATCCTATTTGTGGTGACGGGTTAAAGATGCCTGGTGAACAATGTGATGATGGCGATCTTACAGATAATAATGGATGCAGCCAGACATGCACCATTGAGGCTGGATATACCTGATCAGGAGGAACAACTGGAAGTCAAGATACATGCACTCAGTGCTCTAGGGGAACAGCTTCCCCTGCAGGGGCTAATACTTGTTCTACTTGTGTTGTTGGCTCTGTAAGTGTGGCAGGAAGTGCAGCCTGCACACAATGACTTGGAGGTACTTATGCTGATACTAATAATGAATTTTGAGCTACCTGACCTGCTGGTACTTATTCATCAGATTCAGCAACCTCTTGCACAAATTGTAACTCAGGCTACATTAGTTCAGCAGGATCAAGCACTTGTTCTATATGTCCTGGTGGTACTTACAGTGATGCTCTTAACAGAAATTGATTGACATGCTCAGCAGGTACTTATTCAGTTGCTGGATCAGGCTCATGCACATCTTGAAGTGCAGGTTTCATCAGTTCAGCTGGCAAATCCTCCTGATCAATATGTCCAGCAGGAACAAGAAGCTCAGCAAATCACAAAAACTGCATTGACTGAACTGCTGATACCTTTTCATTAGGAGGAACAGACACCTGAACTCCTTGCATCACTGGTGAAACCAGTGGGACTAGAGCTTCAGATTGTGTTCCAATCTGAGGGGATAGCATCAGAGTTGGTGAAGAAGTCTGTGACGATGGGAACCAGAACAGCGGAGACGGCTGAGAATCAAACTGGTAAGTCTAAGCCTCACCTCTAGAATGAGCCTCAGCTTCGGATATCAATGTGTTGGAGGAACTCCAACATCGATCGATGTCTGATCTCCCATCTGTGGAGACGGCTTCAGAATTGGTGTCGAAGAATGAGATGATAACAATGCAGGAGGAGGAGACGGATGAAGCGCTTCTTGTACAATAGAGACAGGATATGCGTGACAAGGAGGGAGTCGTAAGTCATTCAGAATTAGATTATAGCATCTTCAAAAGATACCTGATATGTTTTCTGTAGTGATGGTTTCTTCATCAATCCTCCTGAAGAATGCGATGATGGCAATGTTTATGATAACGACGGTTGAAGCAGTTTATGTAAAGTTGAACCAGAATGGATTTGTGAGGATGATGGCGACTGGCTAACTCCTCATGTTTGAGTTCCAAAATGAGGAAATGGGAAGAGGACTGTTGATGAAGAATGAGATGACGGAAATACATTTAATAATGATGGATGAGATTCTGACTGCAAGTTTGAAAATGGATTCATTTGCTCTGGAGGCTCTACAACCACTCCTGATAGTTGCATCGAAAATCAATTCATGCCAATAGCAAATTTGACGGTGCAGAACTCCAACGACCTAACTTTGGCTTTCAATGACTCAATTGAGATGAATAGTATATCTCAGGATTCTCTTCAATTGAGAATATATGGAAAAGAGCCAGTCTATAATCTGACATGGACAGCAAGTTTCACATCAACCTCCACTGTTTTAATAAACACTGATATTACTACTAAACTTTTAGGAAGTCAACAAGAAATAGTAGTTGTAGAGTTCTTAATCCCAGACAGTTTTAAAAGCGTATTCTCTGGAAGAGGTTCTAACCCTGATTCTAATATGACTGGGTTCTTATTCCAAAACAATGTGAGTGCAAGCTCAGACTCATTAGGGCAGACTGCTATGATCCTGTTTCTTTTCTCCCTATTCATAGCAGGAGTGTCCTCTTTTGGAGGAAATTCAATGGAGATGACATGGAATCTGATGAACACTCTACAAATTTTGTTCTATCTATCATATGTGTACGTAAACTATCCTACGCATCTGACCGAGTTCTTTAAGTACCTGAAATATGCAAATGCAGAGAATCAGTATATTGCTGCACTGACATTCATGGTTATACCTGAAGAGGAATTTTCAAGAGGCTCTGTAAGTATCCCTGCTTTTTCTCTAACCTATCGAGCCTTAAGTTGTGCTATTACATTTCTTGATTTCTCACATAGGCATTCTGGATTATTCTTCATATTTTATAGGCAAATGATAGACTAGATGATAAAGCATTTATCATTAATTCAGCAGATAAGATTCCTATATTGTTCTTAGTAGTCGTGGCCTTTGTAGTTGGTTTTATTATCTCCAAGGTTTCAAGCAATTTTTACAAGAACAAATCTCGGTTCAACTTCTATATACGATTCGGTATGGAGATGTTCTTAGAGCTAACCATCAACAGTCTAATGAACATTTACTGGGTAAGGTCTCTATCTAACATATAGTACGATGTGTCATCGCCTTACGAACTATTTTCCTTCTCTACTGCAGTGTTCTTCTTCAGTTGCTCTCTGTTCCTACTCTTCTTCACCACTATCTTCATTATCGCAAAGAAGGAGGAGATCTACCATCAGCCTGATAAGCTGGTGAACTACACTGCTCTCTTCAGTGAAGTCAAGAACAAGGTGGAGCCAGCTACTTATTTCTCAGTGGTTTTCTTTGGCCGAAGACTTTTGTTTGGATCTGGCCTGATTTTGTTCTACACTGTTTCGCCAGCCCAGATCTTGATCACATTTAGTACGACCGTCATGATGCTTTATTACTTGGTCACAGTCAGACCGTATAAAGAGGAGTTGTTGAATAAGTTCTCGATTTTTAATGAAGCTTGAGTGGCAGTATGTGCTCTAGCCTTAGTAGCGTTTGACCAAATGAAGGAGGATATAGCACCCGAGCTTCAAGAGACTAGTGCACTTGCCGATAATGTTGGGTGGGGCATGATGGCAGTGATTGGAATATGCCTCTTTGTCAATTTTGTCTACCTCATTCCTATCAAAATGTATGAAACTTTTATAATTGGCAAAGGAGGTGTACTGTGGCTAAGGAAGGTCATAAAGAAAGATAATAAGATCAAGACTACTGCTCTTGGATCTAATAAGAAAATGGTAAGTCTTTCTCTTTTAATTCATCTCCGCTTAATTCCCGCTTGTGGTTATTTTGTTGTCAATCAGTTCGTTAATTGTCTTGATACTGTTTTGAAAATGATTAATGTCTTCAATAAGCTTCCCATTTTCCCACGTATTCTACACAAGACTCTAAAATATCAACACTTTAAACCGGGTTTCTTCTCACTTTATGTAGACTCCAGCAACAAAGATTCAAACAGAATCAAAGCTGATCAGGGACACAGAAAACCAATACAATCCTGGTGTAAATGATACAATGGATATATTAAAGAAGAAAACTCAGGACCAGACTGGCTTTCTTTCTAACATGTCTATCGGAATGATCAGAAATGAAGAGACTAAGTCACCTAGGAATGAAAATCCTCCAAGTCCAAAGGGCTTTATGCACCCATCTTCTCTTGATTACATTAATATCCAGAATGACAAAAGCTGTAAGGCATTCTTTGTAATCTTTAGTGAAAGGAAAAGATAATTCTTGAGAAGTAGTAAAACTTAAGGACACTTTAAGAGCACAGATTGTGAAGAACAACTTTTCGAGAGCTGTTCAGAACTCACCCATGAATGCTTTCAGAAGAGCCACCCAGTCACCTGAGCAAAGAGAGATCGGTAAGACAACGGGATTGAGATTAATAGTAAAAGGCTTTGATCTTCCCTATGCTACATTTAAATAGCTTTATCAACGCTCCAAAATGGGTATCCTGAGCTATTTCTTGGATTATCTTAAAATCAATCCCATATATCATACTTTAAGCATTATCTTCAACATGATAGATGAAGGAGTTCACAAAAATTATAGCTTCATTTGAAAGTCTGAGAACCCCATCAAGAAGTAACTGGATGTATGGAATAAGAGATAATGCTGAGCTGAGTAGCATCGAAGTCGAACCTCTTACAGCTGAAAGGGAAGGCAGACCGAAGTATATTTCATTTCTTATAATTTAGAGCAAATCAGGATTATATGAATATCCCAAAGATGGATTTACACGAAAGAATCAGAACGTCAAGATGGACGTCCAATCATAATTTTAATATTCAGGAAAACCTACGAAGAAATGATGAAATTCTGAGTACTAGAAAGTAAGTTTCTCTTTCTAAAAATTAGTCAAAATAAGAAACAGCAATCAAGGAAGAGTCATATGAAAAAATCACTTGAGTTCTAGCTAAGACCACATACTTATCAATATTTCAATATAAATTTAACGTTTAGGGGTTTTGGGGTTTTGGGGTTTTGGGGTTTTGGGG